ACTTCAACGCATCGCGTTTTCGTTTGCACTGGCCAGCGAGGTCAGATGTCTAGGGTCCCAGAAACACTTCTTTAGCTTAAGGGCTTAAGCATTGTGTCAGTCTGATGTTCGGGTCGGAGAGAGTTTAAGATGATGCATAGCCTTTTTGCTTCTAGAAGATGGGTTTACACTAGTCACGAGTCGAAGATCAGCAAACCAGATCAGCAAACCTAAACACACAACAAACTGGACAGGGATAGCAGAGAGCTAACTTTAGAAAACAGCCATGAAGCTTGGACGTGCTCAGCTAGTTGCAAGGGTGCATAGTTCGTTACCACACTATGATGCAAACTCTTCAGGCAACTTCAAGCAGGCCCCAAACTCTTGCATATGTACCTCGAAACCTTGCGAGGAAGACCCACTCGTCTGCCAGAAAAAGCACATACAGTCTCGACTTTGGTTAGCCTCCGTCTGCTCCGCACGGAGCTTTTCAACCTCCTCCTGGCCAAGGGACTGGAGAGTTTTGAGGGTTGAAGGCCACAAGCTCGGTGCACGAGTCTCATTTCGAAGCTACAGCATGGCATGCAGGATTCACGAGCACATAACGTCACAATATGTCATGTAATGTCATATGCCCTCACATAACATCACATAATCGGCTTCCTACAGCAAAAAAAATCTGCCGAGTGCACCTGCAAGCTTGTCCCCTTGAAATGCTTAAGTCTTCGCATCCAACGTGCAGCTTGGGCCAGCTTGCGCGGACTAGGGCCTTCCTTAGAGGTGGCCTGCAAGCGGTCGAACTCCTCTCGTCGCTTGTCGGCTGCTTGGGCGACGGCCTGGACGGGGCTGACGGGTTCTGGGCTTCAAGGCTTTGAAGGCTTTCCGAGCTTTCTTTATCTATCATGCACAGGCACATGCAGGGCGCATGCTAGTAGTGATGTCGCACCATGTTCAGCTAATGTTGCCCCCCTCAGCCAAGCCTGTGAAAAACAAGGTTCCCTTGCTCAGATTTCAAGAGCTCCTCGTTACTGCCAGGACTTTTGATGCGCAAAAGTGACGACAGTTACGAGGATGGCGAACCCCAGGTGCCCCACTGATGCTCATGATGCTTGTGCGCTCGCGCACCAACGCGCGCGGAAAAAAGAAAGAGGGAGAGAGAGACAGACAGAGAGAAAGAGAGAAAGAGAGAAAGAGAGAAAGAGAGAAAGAGAGAAAGAGATAAAGAGAGAAAGAGAGAAAGAGAGAAAGAGAGGAAGAGAGGAAGAGAGAAAGAGAGAGAGAGAGAGAGAAAGAGAGAAAGAGAGAAAGAGAAGAAAGAGCAGAAAGAGAGAAAGAGAGAGAGAGGGTCTAGGGCTACAAGCCTCTGCCTGCTTTGTGCTACCCACCCGGACTACGTAGAGCAAAACACGGGGCCCCGATCAAGGCAGAGTCTGCATGAGTCTGCACCTTCAGCCGACTTCGGTTTTTCAACAGGAAGGCGATGGAAGCACCTCCAGGGACCTCTGCAACCTGAAGGAAATGGGCATGTAACGTCATGAAATCATCTCAAAATCCCTTCTGCTCGATGCCTTGCTCTTCACGGCCGCGGCAGCAGCAGCAGCCGCTGGTGCGAGGGTGGCGGCTGATTCCTGTACAGCTCTCACTTTGCATGCTGATCACTCAGACTTCATCGTTTGAGTTGGTCGAACATACGATTTGAAGGACTATCGAAGATGTTAAGTAATCGCTTAGAGACATCCAGAGCGCTCAAGCAATTTCAAATCTTTCCGACTCTTTCAGAGCCCTCCGAAGTCCACCTGGACCTGGGCTGTGGGCGTGCCGCCGTTCGCGCAAGAAGACGCCTCGGCGAGCTGCCACAGCAGGCTTAGCCACACAAACCTCCTTGGCACCTCCGATTTCTGTGAGCACTTAAATACAGGATCGAAGTCAAAACTGGCTCATGCCATCTCTCGAAGCTGGAGTCAAAGCAACTCTCAACGGTTTGCCCACCGGATCCGGACGGCTAGGCTGCAGGTGGCTACAGTACTAGCGCCCCAATCCAAACCCCGGCCCCGCGTCCTATAATGTGTCCGATCACGTCCGGCACCTCAATTCCCGAACCCAAACACAGCCGAACTCAGGACGCCCACCTTGTATTCTTTGAGCTGCCGCTGCAGCTGCGCCTGAGTATTCGGCTGGTCAGCATCTGGGAAGCTTCTCCAGCCCTTTGGCCTGGCCTCCCGGGGAATCACATGGTTTGCGGAGTCGTAAGGCATGAGGGGTCTGGCAGCCACGGTGCAATTTGCGCTGCGCGTCCCTTCCACTGAACAGCCAATGGGTCGTCGGCTACCGCAAGGGCCTCCACGAAGGCTCGTTCACACTCGTGTTTTCTCATCGCTTGGCAGGCATGTTTGTCAGTTCGCAATATGTACACAATATGTACATGTGAACATACTAGAATATTGGGGCTTCAACTTCACAGCACCTCTAAAGGTTCTCCGAATGGATCTCGAGTACTTCGCGTTAGGTAAGCAACACATAAACATGAAACCTAAAGCCGAGACAAACTTTCTTACACATACAAAAAACATCAAGAAACCGAAGAATGGGGGGCCATTGAGGGGCTATGGATGTCAAAGCATATTCACGCTAATTGAGGCTGGATGTATCTCCCAAGGCACCTATGATACAAAAGTGATACAAAATACTTCTTGTATACTTATATACTCTGCTAGCGCCCGGCTGTAATCTAGCGCCCATTGGGGCTTCATGTGTGTACATTCGGGCCCCACCTCATCGGACCATGATCATGTCCACGTCTATCTTGATTCCTGTACTGCCCTTTTTAACTTTTTAACAGCTTCCAATATGTTTTGCTCGTTCCCCACCCTCAGTGTTGGGTTGCTGAAATTAAGCAAACCCATGCTCCTCACCTCCTCGCCTCCTTGCCCGGTGTCTTGCCCGGTCTCCTGGGCCTGGTCCCCGTTGTGCCCATTTTCAGAGGAGCCCGCAGAGAGTCGCAGTGAGCATCCCTAGATTGCCCACCCTCAGAGAATTCTGCGGGGAGAGCCGCGACAGAAGCCTGCGTCGAAGTAGTCCTAATTCCTGTCTGAAAACGGCAGGATGGAGGTAGCTGTAGAGGGGGATGAACGAAGCACATAATGAATGTATTTAATTGAAGGCATTTGTTTGCGAATTACATTCATGCGAGTCGTGCGCGCTTATACGTCGCGTAATTACACACCCATGCCTAGCGCAGCATAGTGAACCTACATGGCAGCAGCTTGCATGAATCCTGCAAAAGCTTCTGACACAACACGTCACACACAGTTTGCCTGAACAACTTCCAACGTGTCCGCTCAATGTGAAACGCTCTTTTGCGCGTCGCATGTCTTCACTTTCCTCGCCTGCTGGATGCTCTCATCCGTGCCCAGCTCCTTCAGCAGAACCTCTGCACACAACTCCTTAACTCGAAACTGAGAGGCAGAGGCCCCCGCTTGAATGTCATGTTTAAAGGCAAGAGAGCTTTCACACTGCATTCGGTGCCCCCTTTTGACCGCAAAAGCACCAAGACATGGGCCATTCATGGCCATGGGCCCCAGTCCAAATACATCCACACACCACAGGAACCCAAAAATTTTGCCGAGAAAACATGCGCCAAGGCATGTGACGGCCTTCTTCTGCTTCTGAGTTTGGGTTCGGAGATCCTGCAGCTCGTGGCGCACCTGTCAGGCGGCAGCTTCTCTGGGTCAGATGCAAGGGCATCTAGGCATTGATGTGATGATAATATCCGACGAAAGAAACTGCAAAGCTCCTCTAAGAACATGGCGCAAGATGTCTGAATTACACTTCGCAATGTCAACTGAGAGCAAAGAGAGCTTCATTTCATGTCATCCTGCCCCCTGGCATGGGATAGGTTGAAGCGCATGGCTTCTGTCAGAAGCTGCCATAAGCTGTCAAGACAGCAGCCCTGAAAGCATCTGAAAGCGCGACCTCAATTCCTCTCCACCGAAGAGATACTTTTGTCTTGTCTCTGACTGCAACTGCATGCCATTTTGGATATAGAGGGCGCACAATGGGCAGATTTGTCCTCGGGGAGCGGCCTGCTGCAGCTGGTTGGAGGTCGCGAGGTACTTCTTCTTCCAGTCCTCAAGCTGCGCTTCTGCACTCCCGGTAGCTATGAAAGGAGCCAGGTCCCGGAGCAGTTCTCTCTCGGAAGGCAACTGCAGACAGGTTTTCAAAGAACCAAAAGCTGGAGCTGTCCCAAAGGCTCTGCATTCACTGAGAATCCTCCACGTTACCCCCTTCGCCGTAGAGGAGCGCGGCGTTTTGCATGGCCATCTCCTTTCATCAGTACAGCGCAACTTAAAATAGCCGCTCGTGAGAAAAGCCGCGTTTAGTGCATCTGGAGCTATCCGCACTTCTCAGGCGAAGTGCAGGTGCTCACAGTGTCGCAGCTCAAATGACAGTTGCTTTCTTCCCCCTGCTGTTGAACACCGGAAAGGACCTCTAGGCTCAGCAAATATCCATGGCACGTGGGATACCCTGCATTGTGCTCTGCATCATGCGACAACCCCGACAACGCCAATATGGATCATCCGAAAAGATGAATCTTCCAAACTTCAAAACTTCTTGCAAAGAGTGTCCTATACTCGACGTTTCTTAATTTATGAACCCCTGAACACGCATGTTTTGACGTAACGGGCCTCCGCCAACCTTTTGGCTTCCTCCTTCGGTTTCTTGGCTTCAGCCTCGGGGGCTGGAAAAATTCAGCTCGGTTTTCTTGCACAACCAAGAGCCCGATCGCAAGATCTTAGACCTTGTGTGCAATCATGCCCGTTTCCGTGCACCCACTAATAAGATCTAATCAAGGAAGTCAGAGGAAGCGGATGGTAGATCGACAGGCAGGGGGGTCGTGTCCCTAGGCGAGGGCCCAGCCCAAGCGCTGTCGTTTGGGTGTTGGCACGCATGGTTCGGGCTCTCGAGAGGTTCATGCCATGAGGCTCCTCTCGTCTTTGCCTCGCTCTTGCTTGGGTCTTTTTTCAACATTTTTCAACAATGCCACAATGGTCATCATAGTTTGTAGTTAGCCACTCACGTTGACCACAGGCACCATTGAACGTGGTGTGCTGATAACTCACAGCTTGTAGATAGACCCATGCGGGATGTAGGGCCCCCATCCCCATGACAGGGTTTGCACATGAATTCTGCATGCGAGCCGTCACAGTGTTTGCCACGGGTCGCAACGAGGCGGTGAGCGTGTCCGGTTCGCTTGACGATGACGGCCAATACCAAGGACACTCGAGCCGACATCCATGGACCTGCTTCTTCTCCTCAACAACGCCGGACTGCGAGAAGCGGGGCATCGCGTCGAAGTTGAGAGAACGAGGGGCTTCTTGAACTTCTTTCTTGCACGTTTTGGCCCGTCGCTGCAGGAAGATGCCATGGCTGCGCCATGGCTGCGGGCTGCCACAGGCAAGTATGACCTCTTGGTGCAACAGACACTGTAGGCATCTGTAGGCAACAGGCCGTAGGACAAGAGGAACATAGTCCAACATGGTGTCCTGCCAGCACTGGCCAAAACGAAGAACCGAGGGTCCGGCCTCCAGCTGCTGAAGCCGCACTCTCTGGCCCTCAGCAGTGACCTGCAGGGGACCGAATCATGGCCTTTAAAGTGGTCTCATATGTAAGCTTTGGGCAGACTGAAGTTGGTTTACCTGGTTACAGTGCTGCTTCTGCAGGCGCAAGCCTGAAACTTCATATCGACCTCGTGTATCCTCGTATTACCTCGTCCTAGGCATGATTTCCTGGAAGATGTTGTCCATGCATCTGAGCCAGTGCCCACTGCCGTTGCGCCGCTAGACTTGCGAGGGACGTTCGTAGAAAGATGTAGCTTAGACAGGCCTGCAGCCGGCGATTCTTCTTCCTTGGAGGCAGGGGTCAGTATTTGGAGGTCTGGCTGCAAGCCCTTTTCTGCATTGGAAACCTCGGCACCTCAATACACATGATCAAAAAGTGCAGCGAAATTGATGGAAATGGGCATCTCCCGTCATGTCTCATAGGGTCGTCCCGGCCATGGGCGGTAACTCAGCTTGATAACCGTCACAAAGGAGCTCTGAGAATCTTCCTTGAGCCTGGCCGCTACATGAACTGACACCTGCATCAGTGCTGGATCATAGACTCTGACATCTCAGCCCGAGCAAGAACTTGAAGCTTCCTACGTAATCCCTGAGTCCCCGAGCTGCTTAAGCTTCCAAACTGCCATCCGTGTGGCACTGCATGTTGGGCCCATTGGGGCTGGCGCTCAGCCCTGACCCTGAACCCAAACCGGGCTCTTCGTAGCGAATCTTCAAATTCCCAGCGGCGTCAGATCCAACAGGCGCTGCTTCAGGGCAATCTGCGGGTCCTCTGGGCCAAGGCCCTCACCTTGGCTTCTGGGGTTCAGGGGCGGATGCGTCGGATACGGGGAGAAGTAGCTTCAGGGTATCGGAAGGCTCGCGGGAGCTCGCGGGCTCCGGCTTTGAGCGACTCAGGACTGGTCGAAGACAGTTGACGCCGGAAACTTGTGTTTCAAGGCTGCTGTATACCTTGGGCAGCAGGGCTTTGCCGACCCCAGCGCCTGGGAATGTGCAAAAAATGGCCTTATCTGAGTCCAATGCTCAGTACCCACCCCAGCAACCTGCAGCCAAGTCTCCACGGAGCATGTCGAGGTCATTCTTCACCTTCACAGCGACAGCCACAAGATGCCACAAGCCGCAGGCCTGGGTCTAGCCTGGTGGCATCAGAGTGGAATCCTTAGGCTGCCTTCCCTCTCCCCCCCCCCCCAGCCTGTGCCAGCTCCGCCTCACGGCGTGCAAGCCTCGGGCTTTCGCCACGTCAGATAGCGCCAAGCATCGTCAAGCCCAGCTTGACCGCTTGATCCGACTCGGACCCCTCTGTCGGATCCCCGACTGAATCACCGGACGACCCGACCCAGGCACGCTTGGACTGTGCATGAATGCGATGGACCCTATAGGTAACTGACAGCGGCTGAAAGCGCCGAACAGATCTTTGTGGACAGTTTGGTCGCACATGTGCCCACTAAAGGTGCATAGTCAAAACTAGCAGCTAGCACCGAAACTCTGCCAACTCCGCAATACTGATGCCACAGGCCAATCTACCGAGAGAATCCGCCCATAACGACTGTCACGACCTGCAAATCCCAGAAAGTCATCTCAAAATGGCAGCAACGTAGAATCCTCATCATCCCCTCCACCTCAACCTATGTCGGTCCGAAGCCACAATCTCTTGACATTCGAAAACACATCGAGAACGCCAGGCCACTTGTCCTGGAGAAGTTCGCACTTCTCCTCGGGCCGACATTCCATCGTTGTTGCTTAGGTGACACGACTGGACTGGATGGTTGGGGCTTCGGGGGTATGCAACAAGAGCAGCTGATGGCGTTGCATGTCGAGCTCACAGCAGGTCAAATGTGAAAGACTCCGAAACCAATCTCAGACAACTTGTTTCAGCTTGCTGCCTCATGTCGGCTTCTCTGTAGCAGCACTAGCGTCGCAGGCCAAGAACATGAAGCTTCAGCGGCGTCGTGCTCGCTTGAGTTTCGGAGTCGTGGCTTGGGACTCTGCATGGACTGCTTCGGGATCATTGCAACCAGTCCGGATCACCCGGCTTTCCATCATGCCCGTTCTGTTGTACTACTTTCCGTCGCATGATGAACATTGCTAGCGTTCTCGGGGTGTCTGCAGACTGCAGACACCTGCCAGTTATCCATCATTATCCACGTTCCCTAGTTGAGAGCATTTCCTTGAGCTCTTTAATATGGACCTGCCCAATCGCTTGAGACAAGCCATGTCCGAATCAACCCAAAACCTTGTACCACACGACCGAAAAGACCCTCGTGCCACCCGTCTCCTGCCACTCGCCACCATTGGCTGGCGGCCCGCTGCCGTTTACCAGCCGCTGCTGCCTCGAACCAAAAACTCAGGCATATGCCCGCTGCGCCACCCGTTTAGGGATCGCGGGACCCCTGCACCATACAGCCTTACCGCATCTTACAGCCCGTGTATGCCGTGAGTTCTTCCCGCGCCTCAGCCGAGTGTCCTCGTCATCGGAGTTGGCTTCGGCCTGACCAACTCTCAACTCTGTTGGAATCGCCACTTGGGCAGAGACTTCAGGGTGATGGTTCCCGATATATTCTGTCATTACTGTACTTTGGTTGTGAAACAGTTAGGCCTGAATTTGCAAGTTCGTGTAACTTCTCCGGTATGGGGTTTACAATTAGTGAACGGTGAACTGTTTGATTGACGTCTTGCCTCATCAAACGCTGCCAGCTTCACTGCAAACTTGGGGTCTGATGAGAATCTGAAGTGGCAGACATGACATGGCCAGGGTCTGAACTTGGAACTCGTTCTTTTGGTGATAGATTGGCAACAAATGTAGTCGGAGCAATGGCTGCGGTGGGTTAGGTGCTTGGCTCATGGAATGGCGCTGGCAGGTCCAAAAGAGCTGACATTAGAGACTTGAGGATGCGGGGTTAAAATTTATGGTAGCCTTAGCCCCATAAGCACTGAACGTTCGGCCGGCTTGTGCTCCAGGCCCGTGGTGCGTGCCAGCCCATGACTAGCCCCTGTGATCCCCTGTGCCTCATCCGGCAAGTAGCCTTCAGCTTGAGCGCGCATCGCGCACTGCCGCTCGAAGCGGGCAATGTCATCGTCCTCATCGGAACCGCCTGTCATCCCAGTCGGCGCTGCAAAACTTAAGCCTATGGGTGCATCGAAGCTGCCGCATTCAGTCGGCAGGGTGGCAATCCATATTGAACACTTTGTGTTGTCCCGACCACCTCTGAAATACTGGCATCGATGTGCCGACCCGCCCCTCGTTGCACCAGTACTTGTGAAAATCATCTGCTCCAGCAGAAGTTCGTCAAAAGTTGGCATGTGTATGCCTATGCATGCCACCAAGAACGAGACGAGGACACTCCGCGATCAGGCTTCTGGTCAGTTCAACAATGGCATCCCCAATACCTGCTCACGGGTATCTGGGAATAAAGTAGAAACAGCCCCAACACCAACCAACCAGCACACTGCCTCCACTGAGCTCCGCGTGAGCTTCTAGCTCCATGGCAGGCCCAGGCGAAGGACACCAAACATGGGGTTTCGGGGATGTGCTTAGGTCATGGCTTAGGTCATGATGAGGGATCTTCTGGAGACGGAACGGGTCAGAATAGTGGTCTACTGCAAGTCTCATACAAAAATGTGATGAACATGTTGCCGTGGAAGTGAAACTTAAACTGAGGGGAAGCTTCTCTATCTTCAGTTCACATCATCCGTCATGTCTGCTGTCTACAGCGGGCCCAGCACAACTAAATGAGCTCCGAAGGCGCGTCACACAAACACCGCGATAACTTGTCACATCTTGCTGCAGAAAAACACGTAGAAAACAACAATGAAGCTGCACAGATGCGAAGGAGCCATTGAGCGAGAGAAGGGAGGAGAGATAGCGGGACTAACATCATTGAACTTTCTCAAACATCTGATAGAGATACGCCGAATGAGAAACAGAAAGCTGGAAATCGAGAGATGGAGTGAGATGAGACATCGAAATACAGACACTGAGACATCAGCTCAAGGGCGTTGGCATCCGTTTGTTGGTTGGGTTCAAGGGCCATAAATTATGCATGTCTACATGATGCGATGTTCCTCCAATCTTCAGTCCGGCTGTGTTCAAGCTCGTTTGCGCAAGACCTCGCTGGAAATGGAGGAGCAGCAGGACATGCGGTGTTTGCTTTGACGGCTGGCAGGATGCAGAACAGAAGTGTCACCTGCTTTTTGTTCTGCACTGATACTCGCGTCACTTTTGGTTGTCGATCCGCACGAAAGCTTCACTCTTGTCTATTCTCATGTTCAGCTTGTGCCTGAAAACTCGCCCATACTCAGCAAGCCATGTGGATGGAGAGATGTCCGAGACAATGGGGCCAGGAACTGTGGGTGCTTTCATAAGAGCCGGTTGCAAGGAATTGTGACTGAGATGTCATGAGACACACTCACCAAAAACATGATTTATACATGTCTTAATTCATTAGAGTTGATCAAAATGCCTGTTCCCCAAATAGCGCCATGTTTCCCACATTAATCAACACGAAACCTAAATAATTTCCCAGACTGACCTTCGATGAACACCCAAATAGCTCACCTAACTGCATACATCCCTTGGCGTCCTCCATGACTCTACACATTCTCTCAATGGTGTTGGAAATCGCAGGGTGCCTTTTGGGTCCTGTAAGCTTTCCGCAAAGTGGATGAATGCATTTCAGTGCATTGTTTCAGAATGCGAGGGACCCAAGAGGGCGGCGTCTCACAGTGAGACTTGCCGCACTTCCATCTACCAAACGAGGCATTTACCAAAAAGGCCTTGTGGGCCTTTTCGCCGTTCTTCGGCCATGCATAATGAATTCCAAATTTTACTCACACCTCAGAAGCGCCTTTGCTGGGCCTCATAGGCTTTGGGAGGTGAATTTCGGAGCAACACCCGAAGAACCATCTTTGGGCAACGTTGCTACGGATTTCAGAGATCGAAAGCACAGTCTTGGGCAACTGAGGCGTCCTCAGTACTCCGCCAAGATTGTCCTTCTCTTTAGACCCTAATTCTGAAAGGCCACTAAATTCCGATAAAGACCGAGCTCAACCTAGAAATCCGTGTCTCTGGCATTTGCAGCGGCTCTGCTCTGACTCAGATAAAAGTCGACGAAAACCCAGCACCAAGCCTGCGTGGCGCTGGACACATCCCACGCACCCCCGCGCAACTTCTCTCCCGAAAACCCCATTGTGCCGGGGCCGAGAGCTTTGGATTGAGGGCGTTCTATAACTGTCAAGGTTTCCCGTAGCCCCAACTCACGAATGGACATGACAAGGGGCTGCGCAATCCAAGGGCATCAGAAGAGCTGCCTGTTCCAGACAAGTTGCCACAACTAATCATGCGCTAGTTCAGCCAGGCTGCTCTCTTTGTGGATGGTGGTAGGGCATCTCGCCTTTGCCGGCATGCTCACAGCAGCGACGGCGCTTTCGGGAGCGCAGGGGATCGCTGCAGGTCGGGGTGTTCAATCCATTACACTTCCCTCCCTGAACTTGGGAGCGAACTGCTTTGAAACGTGTACTTGAGCCCTTGTCTTGCCGGTCCTTCTTCGATCTTCCCCAAACCAACTTTAACCCTCAAGCTCACGTCTCCACAACACATACAGTCCGGCTACTAAACTGTTGTGTATCCTCACACATGCCTGTCGAGCAAAGTCCTTCAGGCAAGTCAGCAGACACTCCTAAACGCCCACCAGGCCCTGCTTAGGCATCGTGCTGTAGTAGGGGGTGACACCAGCAGAAGCCGGGACCTGCGACACTCGAGTGTCTTGGGGCGAGCGGGGGCCGGAGGCTGTTTCTGCCAAGCCCAGGGATTCACAGGACCTTTTGTTAGTTTTTTTGCGAACCAAAAGTGTGGACTCAGTGCTTTATTATGAAGCTTGCATGCGTCAGCAGGTCCACAGGGCTCTCGATTGAAGCCTGGATCCCCAAGCCCAGAGCTGTGAGCACAGGATATCACAGGTCCATGTGAAAGGGGAGAAGCTACTTCGGTTTTGGGCCTCTGCTTAGCCGTGTATATCTTGATGGTCTAGAAGGTCTGAGCACCTCTTTGTAGACATGACGGAGATCGCACATTGACAAGACCGAAATCCTCGCAGCCCCCGTTGACCGGGAACACCATCGAACAACAGAGCCAGTCCTTCACGCTTTGGAAAGTCTCCTCATACTTCGGAGCCTGGGCCAAGACATGACATCTCCTAGGATTTGAACTTAGGTGTCGAGCTTCGACCTGTTCGACCTTTGCTGCATCAGAAGGAGGGTGTGAACAGATGCCCGCACCCGTGCGTGCACGTACTCAAATATTTTACGTTCTAACCTTTTCTGATACGTGCCTACTTGGGCTTGTTGCTCCGTGAAGCCCACAACAGCCGGAGCTAGAACACTGCCTCCCATGCCCCTCTGTCCCAAATCTTAAACACTAAACTGGCCCCAGACGCTGAACTTCAGATGTAGAAGCCAACCATCCAGAACCCATACGGTGCCTCATAGCGCACCCGACATGATCCTTGCAGGGCCCCGGCAGTGTACATCGGCACAGCGGACCTGGACGTGCGGATACGGACGAAGCGGCATCTTGAACTAGGTAGGGTTTGTAGGGCGTTTAAGTTTACTTTTCGCATGTAGGGATGCTTAGGGTATGCAAATCTGTGCAAACGTAACACTTAACATTCAGGCCATCAGAGCGTCGGGCCGCGTGCTGGGCAACGGTGTTGCCGGGACCTCCCGCCACTCTGCACTGCTCAGAATTCTTGCTGGGGCTAGGTTTTGAATTTATGGGTTTGGTTTGGTGGTCGTTGGCCGGTTCACATGTAAGCTTGCAGGGTTTATGGGGCTTGGTGACTCAGGACCTGCGGCTCAGGTGCACAGACTGCGGCTTCATGGATGCAAATTAAGCGATCACGGAGGTGCTCGGAGGTGGCTGCTCGCTAAGAAAAGTCACCGACATGCTTCGCCAACTACTTTTCGGGTTACTAGTTGCAGACTTATGGGGACTGACCATGCTTCTCCAACTGCTTTCGGGAAAGTAGTTGCAGACTTATGGGGACTGACCGTGCTTCTCCAACTGCTTTCGGGAAAGTAGTTGCAGACTTATGGGGTCTGACCATGCTTCTGCAACTGCTTTCGGGACAGTAGTTGCAGCTTCGAGCAACCGCATTTCTGCATGCAAATGAATGCACTGAGCTGCTGCAGCGGCTTTGAGCCTGATCTACACCGAACACCCAACACTCACTACCAGGCCTGGTAGATCTGCGACTGAGTGCTTCCCTTGCAGCAGGGTTCCCAGGTCCCGCAAGGGCAAGCGTGGAGTGTTGAAAAAAGGGCGTGCAGCAACTGCTCTCAAAGAAGCCATAGAAGCAACATCCACTTACTTCCTGCAAACCTGAGTCCACTCCGAGTCCCCATCGCCCTTGGTATGCCCTTGGTCCGTATGCCTCCTCAAGCCACGAAACCCCGCTAGATTGCTTAAACGTCTGCCCGAAGACAATTGTAAGCCCCGCATAAAACCCTCATTTCGTGTGTTCGCTCGGTCTTCTGCTGCCGTGCTGCGTTTGGCTCTACGTTTGCTGTTGCTTTCTGCTGTCGCTGTGGTCCCGTGGTTGGTTACTGCTCTTGCGTTTGCACTACGAACGCTGCTGTCACTTTCTCTCTCTCTCACACACACACGCACCGAATCGTGCTCTCACACACTCGCATCTATTTGTGTTGTGTTTTCACACATTGAGCGGCACAGTGCCCGATCTGTCTTATCGTCGGGAGCAGCGCGGCGGCTGCTCTGCACCAGTTAATGGTAATCCAACGTACGTGAAGACGGAAGCAAGCGGAGCGCAGTGTTCACCTGTTGCGCTGTATTACTCCGCGGAATGTGGCGTATGGAGCCCCCCATCATCCCCTCGAGTCGTTGCCTGCAGCAGCTGCGACTGCGTCGACCGCTGCAGCGAGGCCGAGGATGCGGGCGCAGGAGAGGGGACCTCTTCAAACTTCTGAAAGGCTTCGAGAGTCTAGCTGAGAGTAGAGTCAGTTCAGGTTCACACAGGTTTCTGAGCCTAAGAATTTGGCACGAGGACCTCGGGTGTTGTTACTGTTTCTTCTTCTGCAGGTTGGCTTTAGAGGTTCCTGAAGACATGCCGGCGTGCCGTTTGCGCAACGATGGCCTTAACCAAGCAGAAACATTGAAGGTGCTGGCCCATGGTTCAGGGGCTTCCGAGTACACGCTAGGTTTAGGCCTTCGTTGATGTGGGGTTATACATGGTTGTACGGCTACGCATTCGAGAGCAAATGCGCCTGCGAAGGCATCTGCGTCGCAGCCTGTATCATGGCTGAAAGAAGCGACGTCGAACAGGCAGCGTGAAGCTTTGAAAGCGGGAATTTGGGAAGAAGCCTCTCTAGAGGTTGGGACCACCTAATCACCTAAAGGACCTAAAGGGCTATGTTATAAAGATGTCTCAATGTATTGTAAGGTACCAGTGTCCCCACCTCGCGCCTCTCGCA